CCATCAACCACAGTCCGTGACAAAACTTGCCGAGCGAAAAGAGCACTTTTCGTTGCAAACAACAGCCTGAGGACACTTGTTTACAATAACTCGCAGCGGCAGAAGTCGGCAAGGACAGTCAAACTTTCCAAGAAGAAGTCAGCCTCATCTCCAGCTGTGACGCTGAAATCGTCGCCAAAAAGTCCTCCCATTTGTAAACGGGGCGTAAGACTTCGAACGTCGCTCCACAAAATGGCAGTGACAGGTGGGGACGCAGCCAACTTGCCAAACTTGAAGCTCACCCCGGTGGCAGACGAGAAACAAAGCTTGGCAGAAAACTCTGACACCTTCCTGACATACAATTCTGGCAAGTAAGTGCTTCTGACAACTTTTCTGACTGTGGAGTTTGGCGAGTAGGTGTTTCTGACAGACGGACACCTTCTCTGACGGTCCAGTCTGGCGAGTAAGAAAAAAACATGCACCTGCTCGCCAAGTTTTAGTGAATGGTGAGTACTGTAACCAGGCCCAAAATCAACTACGACGGCCTGTAGATATCATCATTGAGCTGACCGGCCCTAGCCAATTCAGACTGATTTTGTTCTCTTCAACTGAAAGGTATCTGGATTCGAACTTGAGTCTGTGATTCAACAGTTCAGTGGCGTACCAACTGGGGGCATACTCACACTAGGCCCTCAAAATCCCAAAATCCCAAAATGAGCGTCCAGATCTAGTCCTTCCTTTACAAGGACTCAAGCCGGCCCCTCATTTTGTGATTTTGCGAGTTTGAGGGCCTAGTGTGAGTATGCCCTGAGTGACGCTCAATGGTAAAATCAACCATTCTGGGCTTCTGACAAATCCCGATTCAGTTTCGATACCCCTGGAGCTGGGCCCAGTACGTGAGAGTCAGTGAGACCACCAGTACTTCTGGGCCTCCGTTTCCCGATGCAGGTTTAAGCTGCAGTGCTGTTGCATGCCGAATACGAAAAAGATCCAGCACATCAGCATTTTTCTTTTATTTTGGCCTGGACTGCCATGCACCCGCAGCATCAGAGATATTTAGCTCTTTAAAGCACTGCTGGTGGGAAAATAACGAGGAGAATTCCTGGCCAAATCCTTCAGCATCAAAGCTTGAGGTAAGAAGCCACTAAGGGCCGTTTTCAGCGCTTTGACTTTTCTTGGTGTTTTCCAGCGACAGTACTTCCGAGCTGCACTATCAATTTTATTTTTCTCCTTTTTCTTTTTTATTCCCTCAAAGAGTTGCAGTTTTATATTATGATGCGCAAAACAAGGCCGGGAATCCCTCAACATCTCAACCCAGAAAGCAGGAGCCCCCATAAAGCGCAGCAAACCGGCCCCAGTTCGCCCCCAAGGGACATATAAACCGAAGCTGGAGGGGGCCCAGGGGGGCGTCCAACCACTGCACGGCTTCGCCGCCAGCAATGTTTGGGTCACCGCTGGGCGGGGTGCCGCTCCCCTCTGGGAAAGGGGGACGGCCCCCCCCCAACACCGGTGCCCCCGCAGGCAGTTTGTCGTCCCGTCCCTGAGGATGGCCAACAGCCTGATGCGGTCAATTGCTGTGGCAAAATGAAGTCAGTGTGCTCAGGAACACCCGCCCTCAACGAAACTGGCACCCGGCCGGTCAGTTACTACTCTGGAGACGGCGGCTCAAACAGGGCAGGGGGGCTGGTCTTGGAAGAAGCACGACCTGAAGTTCGGGTGACCCATGTGCACACACAAATCCACTCGAGCAGCCTCGCCGCCAGCGAGATCGCTGGGTCACCGCTGGCCGGGGTGCCGCTCCCCTCTGGGGAAGGGGGACGGCCCCCGCAGGCAGTTCGTCGTCCCGTCCCTGAGGATGGCCAACAGCCTGATGCGGTCAACGGCTGTGGCAAAATGAAGTCAGTGTGCTCAGGCACCCACCCTGAACGAAACTGCCACCCGGCTGGTCAGTCACTCCTTTGGAGATGGCGGCTCAAACAGGGCAGGGGGGCTGGTCTTGGAAGAAGCACTACCTGAAGTTCGGGTGACCCATGTGCACACACAAATCCACTCGAGCAGCCTCGCCACCACCGAGACCGCTGGGTCACCGCTGGCCGGGGTGCCACTCCCCTCTGGGGAAGTGGAACGGCCCCCCCCAGCACCGGTGCCCCCGCAGGCAGTTCGTCATCCCACTCCTGAGGATGGCCAACAGCCTGACGCGGACAAATGCTGTGGCAAGCCAGAGTGCTCAGGAACACTCGCCCTGAACGAGACAGGCACCCAACTGGTCAACCACCCCCCTGGAAACGGCAGCTCGAACAGGGCAGGAGGGCTGGTCCTGGAAGAAGCACGACCTCAAGTTTGGCTGACCCATATGCACACACAAATCCACTCTCATCCAAAGCCGGGTCTGAAAAGCAATGACAAACTGCGAATTGAGGCCCCTGCTGACGTGCCAAAAACGGTCACCAAGCTGCCTTCGCAGCAACACAGGTGGCTCAAAGCTACCTCGCTCATTAACAAAATAAAAGCAGCAGCCTTTCCCTGCCCTCGCTCAGAAACAACAGCCCTCCTACCTCTGATTGCTTTGACCACCGCTGATCATCGCGTGGAGGGCCAGCTACTCCCGCAGGACGGATTCCCGGGAGGGCAGGAGCTAGCGAGGGGACTGATGACAAAGCAAGATCTGGGCCTCCAGGGCCACCGCCTGGACCAGGCAACGACAGAAGTGCAGCAACAACCAACGACAGAAGTGCAGCAACAACCCCAACTGGGTGCGCAGCAAGATCTGGGCCCCCAGGACGGCCGCCTGGACCAGACAAAGACACACTTGGATCGGGAGCCCCGGGACCAGCAAACGGACCATGGGCAACTGCACGCACAGGACCGCCACCTGGACCAGGCCGCGACAGAGGTGCAGCAACAAACCCAACTGGGGGCACTGCAAGAACTGGGCCGCCGGGACCTCTGCCTGGACCATGGGCTGCTACACACCCAGATGGGCCGCCCACCGGAGTAGTTGTGCCAGGACCAGCAACTGGACCTGGCGAACCGGCAGGAGCGGCACCAACTCCTGCAGGTCCCTGGCCATCAGCAGTGCCACCTAATGCAAAAACAACACCAACAGCCCTCTGCCTACCCGCCGCAGCTTATGGATGTGTGTGACGGCAGTCAATACTGTCAGGACAAACCACTGGACCTACAACTGCCAACCCAACAACAGCACCATCAGCACTTCGGCGAGCTCCAAAATCAGCAACAGCTGCACGCGCAAGAACAGCAACAACAACAACAACTGCATCTTCAACACCAAGCCCAAATGCAGCTATTGTGCCAGGCGCAGCGGCAGGGCCAGGAGCTCCACCACCAACAACAGCAACAATGCGAACAGCATCTTCACATCCTGCTGCAAGCCCAAATGGCACAATATCACCAACAGCAAGACCACCAGAGGCTGATACAACAACAACAGCTGCTGCAACAAATGCACCTGCAGTGGCAGCAACAACTCTGCTGCCAACAGCAACAAATGCTGCAACAGCAACAGGAACGGCTGCATCAGTTCTGGCATCAACAGGGCGTTCAGCAAATCGCCCAGGGGCCGCAGCGGCCTCACAACCAACACATGATATGCCGAGAGCCGGACAACCAAAACGATTCGGCTGCCCCCCTGGACATGGATACATCTGGCCCAGAGGACCAGCCCCCACTGCAACAAGCCCACCTACCAACGCCGGTGGGAATGGACCTCGAAACAGTCCCGCCAGCGCCTTCACAGGCAATGGAGCCGGCCCCTTCGCCTCTGCCCCTGTCGGCCAATGATGAAGTCACACAGAAACTTCAGTTTCTGACGGACTGGACCCTTACAAAAATCTTCTCGCTCACGGACGACAGACCGGAAGATAGGCTCAAAACGAGATAGTGGGGGGAAGCGAAAACGGTGCTAATGTATAGCCCGAGGGTCCTTGCAACGATGGAAAAATACAAGTCCGTCACAGCTATCGACTGGATGGATGTGGGGGCGGCCATAGTCATGGTGGTCAACGAGTTCTTGGACAAAATGGACAGCTATGCCAGAAATTGTTGCATCGACAAGGGTGCTCCGCTGGCATATCCACAGACTGGCCCTCACGACGAGGCATTCCTCCACGAAGGGCTGGCCTGGCCCAAGGCCCTTGTGCATGAACTCTGCGAAACCTTACACGCCCTGTCGGAAGTGAACGACCGGGACCACCTGGCTTTGCAAGATGCCCAACCGCCCCGGCCCAGCGACCAACCACAAGGGCGTTCCAATCACGACATAATACCCGCAACCACCCGGCAGCTCACCGTTGTGGAAATCATCCATGACGACGAAGATGATAACGACGATAGATCCCCGCTGATATCTGACGGAGAGTGCACTGCCGCATCTCCCTCCAAAAAGCTGAGGGAACTGGTGCGACTTGAGGAAGATGACAGCACACCGGTTGCTATGTAGCCAGGAGTGGTCATCTTCCCGATCACCAGGGTGGAAGAAAGTGGGAAGTGGGTGCTGGGCCTCAAACCCCCACAGCAAGATACCCACACTCTTCAAAACGACAACACTGATGGCCTCGCTGTGGAAGGATGGAAGGGCAACCCTTCTACAACGATCATTTTGAAAAGGTTAAAATATTGGTAAAAGGAAACCGCCACTATGGGGGTGTTGGGGGCGGTTCTCCCTAAATCGCTCACGCTGCCTAAGGGTATCATCCCGGTTTTACTGCTGGTTGACCCCAAGATCAGATTGCTAAAGAGCCCCAACGGGTTTACATGGTTTAATCACAATGGACTCATGGACCTGACTTCCTCTCGCTTCAGGACGAGCATTGCGTGGACGCTCAGACGGGTCCTGGTGTTCATGCAGATCTTCCTTGAGGACTGCGTACTGGACAAACACAACCAATGGGATGACCCCCCCTTCGTCCTCCCCATCAAGACCGTCCACTGAGCATCGACGACGACGCTAACACGCAGCTTGCAACCACACTCCCGCTCCAGCAATGGATGGCCGAGTTACACAGCGTCAACCAAACGACCAACAACAGTCCGGTGGCCCCTTGCTAGGCCACCCTCCTGCCATGCGAACACAAGGACCGCCACGCCCTGATCGATTTTCCCTGGGCCCTTGCCCTTTGATGGACCCCACACAACCCAACTGCCCCCCCCCTCCTCCACGCCCCCCTTTCCCCCCAGTGTTCCCCAAAAAATGGAACCCGCCACAATGGGCAACCAAACTGGCCCGCGCAGACATAGACATACGGTCCCTTAACGTTAATGGGCTCATACAGGCGACGCTGGAAAAAAAACAGGCCATATGGGCAATGCTCAAATGCCCTGATACCAACAGATGGCCGGACGCGGTGCGTGTCCAAGAAACGCACCTCCAGGACACACCGCCGCATGTGGAAAAAGGTAAAGTTGTCTGGCCATATGCCTCCTATCAGGCACCCGCAACGGAAAGGGCGTCAGCAGGAGTGGCCATCTGGATCCCTCCTTCTTCGAGGCTCAGACCACTATCTGCACAACACGACCACCTGCAGGGGAGGTGGGTGTGCCTGAAGGTGGCATACGAAGAGGACGTATTTTATCTCGTTAACATCTACGCCCCCAACGACCCCGTGCATAGGGTGGACCTTTGGCTTACCTTGCTCCAGCACCTCCCGAATGACGCTCCGATCATAATGGCAGGGGATTTCAACACTACCCTGGATCCGGTGATGGATCGCAGACCGACCTCGCAACGACAAGACCCGCACGCATCGTCGCTGCCGCAACTGGGCCCGGACATCCTTATGCTCAGGCAACTGATGGCGGACAGAGGCTTGGAGGATGCCTACAGAATGCTGCAACCGGCCCAACGGGCCTAAACTTGCCTGTCCTCCAGGGGCGACCGTGGGCTGGCCAACTCTCGCATAGACCTTACACTCGTCTCCAAGGACTTACTTGGCCTGGTCACAACTGCCGAAATAGCCACTATTAGCCCCTGCAAGTCCTTCAACCACAGAATGATCACATTGGGGCTGTCCTTCCACGCCCACATCAGCAGGGGACCGGGGTTCTACAAATTTAACGCCTCGCTGCCATCCCTACCCAAGTTCAAAGACCTGGTCACTCAATTCTGGCTCTACTAACAAACCCAAAAACCGGAATCTGGGGATAGGGTTGCCTGGTTCAATGACGACATAGCTCAATTAAGGGAAAGGGCCAAGAAATTTTCAATTCAGTACGCAAGAGACCATAAAGCCATACTTGACAAGCTCATGCGTGATCTGGAAGAATGGGATGACACACAGATGGACCCCGCTGCACCAACCCTCATTCCACAAATTGCAAGAAGCCCGCGATCACCTCCAAGCCTACATAGAAAGCCAAACGCAGGCATGGAGGATCCAGGCCAAGATCCAAAAAGGTCACACTGATGGAACGATGGCGAAATTTTTCTTCCGCAAGGCCAAAGCCAAAGTCAGGGTTGCCACGGTCCCTAGACTCAAACACCCCTTCCAGGACGATGCGAGGGTGGCCGCTAATGCATACTCGATAGCAGACTATGCATCCCAGTACTATCAGCGGTTGTTTACTTCCCAGACTCCCGAAAAAGAAACGGTGGAGGTCTTGCGTGCGAGAGAGGATCTTCTACAAGCAGTCCAAACCCGCCTCGCACCAGATCAAAAACAACTGCTCGAAGTGTCGATCTCCCCCGCTGAAATATGGGAGGCCTTGAAGGGTATGGTAGACGAGAAAACACCAGGCATTGACTCCTTCCCCAAAGAATTATGGCTGCACTTCTGGGAGCTCCTCCAGGATGACCTTACGAGCTACATTGCGGCGATCCAGATAGAGGGCTCCTTTGGGGGTATGATCGGGCAAGGAGTTACTACATTGCTCTATAAAAAAGGGGACAAAGAGGATATAAGGAATTATAGACCCATCACCCTCCTCCAGGTCCCCTACAAAATGGTGGCTAAGGCTCTGACCAATCGCCTGCTACCACTGATGCACATGTTGATTCATCCTGACCAGACTGGATTTATGCCCAACCGCAACATCCAAGACAACATCCTTCTAGTCAACGAAACCATCAAATACGCCTGACAAAGAAAAGTTCCGGCGGTGATTCTCTTCATAGACTTCGAAAAGGCGTACGACCACGTTGACTGGGATTTCTTGGGCATGTGTCTGGCCAAGATGAACTTTGGACTGTCATTCTGCCGATGGATTCGGCTCCTCCACAAATCGGCTACCACCAATATTATGATCAACGCCCACCTCTCACCCCCCATTACGCTGCAGAGATCGGTGCGTCGGGGAGACCCAATTGCGCCGCTGCTCTTTGTTATTGTGATGGAGACCCTCGCATCACTCATCAGGGCCCATCCTCAGATTTCTAAGGTGCCCATCCCTGAGCTTCCGGAGCACCTCATCCCGATGACATCGCTGTTCGCAGACGATCTCACTGTTCTCATACGTGCAGACGCTGACAGCATCCGGGCCCTCGCGCAAATTATACACCAGTTCTCACTTACGGGATATGAAAGTGAACTGGGGCTCCAAAACGGAAGGCTGGTGAATGTGTTGCCAAGACCAGCCCCCGCCGCCGCAACCCGAGGTCAAATGGCAAGCTAAAGACGAAGCTATTCGAATTCTTGGCGTCAGGCTGACGACATTGGGCCCCCCACCAGATCATGGGGATGCACGGGGGAACCTCGCAATTGACCGGCTTGCGAAGTGGTAGGGTCTCGAAACCTCGCTGGTGGGCCTGGCCTTGGCAATCAACAATGCTGTCCTTGCGGCGATCTGGTATAAACTGGCAGTGTGGCCACTGACGAAACAGCAATACACCAGGCTCAGAAGAGCACTTCCGACTTACCTATGGAAAAATAAAGCGAACTCCCAAGGCTGCATGAACAGAGTAAGCTGGGACATCCTCACCCAACCAAGAGTCAAAAGGGGGTTTGGGATTCTCGATCCGAAAAGAGAGAGCGAAGCCTTGATTTTCAAGGTGCTGGTCAGGCTGTTGTTGGGTAACGACATCCCGTGGGTGCCTCTGGCCTACATACAAATAGCTGGCCTGGCCCCTCAGTCACTGGGCATCAATGGAGTGCACCCGCTCCGATGGCTGACCAACAGCCACTGGACGGTTCCGAGCCCGCGCCAGAATGCATAGACACCCACCACCCCAGCGCATGCGGTCCGGCAAGACATCCCGAACGACCCCCTATGGCCCTTCATGATTAGACTTTGGAGGAAACGGGGGCCCACACAAAAAGAACCCCAGAATCGTTGGCATACGGTGTGGAGACAACCGCTCTTTGGTAACCCCCACATCCTAGACCACACAGGCAACCCCTTTCTGCTCACTACCAACTCACATTGGTTGACCTGGGATGCGGAAGGCGGTGAGATGGTGAAACGCCGGAAGGCGGTGAGATGGTGAAACGCCACCTGATCCCACGGGATGCGGAAGGCGTTTCACCATCTCACCGCCTTCCGCATCCCGTGGGACCTGGGCCTTGTCCTGCTCAACAAAAACCACCACCTGATGAGACAATGGACCCCCTTCGCTGCAAATCTCTTTGCCTACACAAGGTTGCAGGTGCTGATGCTGGCCTGGAGAGCTAGGTGTTCTTATGAGAGGAAGGACCACCAGTTCGGGTTGCAACAAGCACAACAGGCGATAGAAGAAGCAATTCGAACCCGGAYCCACGAAGCCTGGAAGGCCATGCATCGGGACTA